CCAAAATATATATAAACCTAAACTAATATAGCAATTTTACTTATAAATGGGTCTAACACTAATGTAAAAGCATTTCTGTTGTAGGTTTTTCCGGATTTCCCCACACTTCGTTATTTCTCTTGGCTGGTTTAAGTATCTTAACTCAAGACATTAAGCAGTGGTCAGTAACTTGGACTTCACTACTGTTCTAATGCTTGGAGGCTATTAAGAGTGCTTATAGCATAGTCAACTCAGCGAAAAACACAACTATCTTTTACTAATTTTTTCCCCTTGACTCTAGATCAGTTAAAGAATGTTTTGGTTCTTTCACAGTCTTCCTTTTTATCTCAATGTCAACCTCTGAATCCTATTTTATACCCTTCCTAATGCAATGGTCTACTAATTGTGTTCTCAACCTCTTATCCTTTCATGCTCCAATTCAATAATAACAAAGGAGAAGAATTTTAATCTTGTTACATCCTGCTCAAAAATCTTCAATGGCTGACTCCACATTATCTATAACAGGATTTATAGATTAACAGAAGTGATAAAGCAAATATCCAATCTGCCCAGTTAATTGGGAAAAGAAGAAAAAATGCCATCACCACCTTAAATATCTTCTGTACTTAAAACTGCAGGGAAAAGACTATAGAATCTAACAACTATCATAGATACTCTACCTGATTGAAAAACTTGTTGCAGGCCAGGAGGCTGTAACCACCTGACCATTTCTTCTGCAAGTGCTTCCACTTGTAGTTCAAGGGCACAGCCTTCACCATGGACCTGGATCATTACTCTGAAGACAATGATGTAAATAAAAATAGCTCATTCTCAAAACAAGTTTAGGAACTCTGTTCCATAAGCCCAAAGGCCATACAGTTTTCCAAAATTCTCCACTAAAATCCCAACTTATTATAATCCATCTGGCACTCTTCTCCCCAAGAATAATTATCTGTTTGAAACACTGACCCTCCCCAGAGCCTTACATGTCACATATGCTGCCCTCCTGACCAGGGATGTGTTCCTCTTCCTCTACCTCTGACCCATGAAAATGCAGCTTAAGCCCTAGCCTTTTATAACATGCCAATCTGTAAGGATCACTATTTCTCCTCTACTCTCTTATCATGAGATAGCCTGTATCACTCATTTGGTACTAGAATATATATTGTGTTATTATTTTTGGCCCTTAATAATTCTGTGAGGAAAAGGATTAGGTACTATGTTAGCCTTTTTACCCAAAAAGCTCTCTGAAGGCATGATTGATTAAATCACTGACTTTGGTAACTGAACTCAAATTCTAGTCCCCCTCTCAGAGGTCTAGAAGGTAAGGCTGAAAAGTTTCAACCCTTAATTACCTGGTTGGTTCCCCTGGCTACCCAGTCCTATCCACAAAGGCTTCCCAAAAATCACTTCATTAACAGAAAGTCAGGTGTGGTTGAAAGGGGCTTGTTACGGCCATGGCCAGGTAGCTCAGATGGTTAGAGCACTGTTCAAATACACAGAGGTTGTAGATTTGATTCCCAGTCTGGACATTTACAAGCAGCAATCAATGAATGCATAAGTAAGTGGAAAAACAAATCAATGTTTCTCTCTCTCTCCTTTCATCTCTCTCCCTTTTGCTCTAAAAAGCAATCATAAATAAATAAACACCTTTTTCACTCTTACCACTCAGGAAATTTCAAGAGATTTTACTTGTGCTGTGATAGAAATAGAATGAAGACCAAATATATAATTCATATTATAAGTCACAATATCACAGTACCTAATTATGTAAAAGGTAGAATTTTTAAATATATTTTATTGATTATGCTATTACAGTTGTCCCATTTCCCCCTTTTATTCCCCTCCACCCTGCACACCCTCTCCCACCCACATTCCCCCCCTTGAGTTCATGTCCATGTGTTTTAAGTTCTTTAGCTTTTACATTTCCTATACTATTCTTGCCCCCCCTCCGTCTATTTTCTGCCTGCCATCTATGCTACTTATTCTCTGTGTCTTTTACCCACTCTCTCCTCCTCTCACTCCCCTGTTGCTAAGTCTCCATATGATCTCCATTTCTGTGATTCTGTTCCTATTCTAGTTGTTTCCTTAGGTTTTTTTGTTTTAGGTGTGGTTGTTAATAATTGTGTGAGTTTGCTGTCATTTTACTATACATGTTTTTTATCTTCTTTTTCTTAGGTAAGTCCCTTTAACATTTCATATAATAAGGGCTTGGTGATGATGAACTCCTTGGATTTGATCTTATCTGAGAAGCACTGTATCTGCCTTTCCATTCTAAATGAAAGCTTTGCTGGATAGAGCAGTCTTGAATGTAGGTCCTTGCATTTCATGACTTGGAATACTTCTTTCCAGCCCCTTCTTGCCTGCAAGATCTCTTTTGAGAAATCAGCTGACAGTCTGATGGGAACTCCTTTGTACGTCGCTGTCTCCTTATCTCTTACTGCTTCTAGGATCCTCTCCTTCATTTTAATCTTGGCTAATGTAATTATGATGTGCCTTGGTGTGTTCCTTCTTGGGTCCAACTTCTTTGGGACTCTCTGAGCTTCCTGGACTTCCTGGAAGTCTATTGCCTTAGCCAGGTTGGGGAAGTTCTCCTTTATTATGTGTTCAAATAACTTTTCTACTTATTGATTTTCCTCTTCCTCTCCTGGTATCCCTATAATTTGGATGTAGGCATGTTTAAAGATGTCCTGGAGGTTCCTAAGCCTCTCCTCATTGTTTTGAATTTTTGTTTCTTCATTCTTTTCTGTTTGGTTGTTTCTTTCTTCCTTCTGGTCCACTCCATTGATTTGAGTCCCAGTTTTCTTTCCATCACTATTGGTTCCCTGTGCATTTTCCTTTATTTCACTTAGTACAGCTTTCATTTTTTCACATAATTTGTGACCAAACTGAACCAATTCTGTGAGCGTCCTGATCAGCAGTGCCTTGAAATGCGCATCTGATAGACTGGCTATCTCTTCATCACTCAGTTGTATTATTTCTGGAGCTTTGATCTGTTCTTCCATTTGGGCCATTTTTTTTTCCTTTTGTCATGCCTGTTTTGTCGTGAGGGGCAGAGCCTTACGTGTTCACCCGGGCAGGGCAACCCAGTCACTAGGTTGTGATACTGTATGTGGGCGTGAGATCCGAGAGGGAACAATGGTGCTTGCTCCACTCTTTGTCAGATTTCAGTCTTTCAGTCCCTTCCACGGCTTCCCCCAAGCAAACTGGGCTCTTCTAGTGCTGATTCTTTTGTAGGGGTGTGTGTACATTCTAGGACCCTGTGGGTCTCTCCAACAAACTCTCCTGTGAGGCTGGGAGTCTCTCCTGGCACCTCAACCCCCACAGGTGTTTTCAATTGGAGTTTTAAGGCTTTATTTCCCGGCACTGAGAGCCTGGGTTGCATGGTATGTCTCACTCCTCAATTTTTCCTGGTTTAACTGCGAGCAAATGTGGGACCACCTGGTCAGCCAGCCGCCTTGAGTGCAGTGCCTCACTTTACAATCGCCACCCTGGGCCTGGGGTCTGCAAGCCGCCACCTGCGTGCCCAGGGTCTGCCTGAAGCTGTTTTGCACGCCTAGGGTGCCTTGCGCGCCTGGTGCCACCACTTTTTGTGCAGAGGCCCTTCTCTGCCTGGCTGCCCGATTCTACCCTGCCTACCAGTCTGGATGAATGTGTCTATTTTATCTCCTTGGTTGTCAGACTTCCATACAGTTCAATTTTCTGTCAGTACTGGTTGTTATTTTGTTTCTAAATTGTTGCTATCCTTATTTTGTTTGTGCAAGGAGGCACAGTGTGTCTACCTATGCCTCCATCTTGGCCAGAAGTCCCCTAATTTTTTAAAAATAACAAAATGGTCTACATATTTACCTGGGGAAAAAAATCAGCACAGAGAAGTTTAGTGAGTAGCCTGGTATGACACAGATGGATAGCTATACATTAATAATTTGTGTTCCTCATTTCAAAATGTAAAATAGTCATTGGGAGGCAGCTGCCCAGCCAGGAACTACAGTTTCCTCAATGGATATGAACAGAGGTAATATATGTGACTTATGGGCTAGGATTTTTAAGAGCAGGTATGCCATCTCAATTTTTCTTTCTCAGTCTGGATGCAGAGGACTCAAGGTTCTTGGGGATGACAGCAGCAATACCACAGAAGATGCCTAGACCCATGAATCAAACACATGGAGAAAATTATCTGCTATTCAGCAACATCTGCATTGGGATATTACAGTTGTAATCCCTGATCTTCAATTTCACTTTCTGTGGTTTCAGTTACCCATAGTCAACCATGGTCCCAAAATATTAAATTAAAAACTCCAGAAATAAACAATTCATAACTTTTAAATTATACACCATTCTAAGTTGTGTAATGAAATCTTCCCCTGTCCCACTCCATCCCACCCTGGATGTAAATCATCTCTTTCTACAGCATCTCCACACTGTATACACTGCCCACTAATTAGTCGCTTAGTACCCACCTACATTATCAGATTGACTGTTACAGAATCACAGTATCTTTCAGAGTGGTTGTGTTCAGATAACTCTTATTTTAACTCAGTAATGGCCACAAAGTGCAAGAGTAGTGATGCTAGCAATTCAGATGTGCCAAAGAAAATAGGTAAAGTGCGTCCTTTAGGTGAAAAGGTATGTATCATAGGAAAAAAACAACATATGTAGAGTTCAGTACTATTTGTAGTTTGAGGCCTCTCCTAGGGGTCTTTGAATATATCCCCAATCAATAAAGGATTACTACTGTACAGGGGTTATAAATGCCTAGTATGTTAAGCCACTGAAATTTTAGTCTTTTCTTATAGCAGCTAACATTAGTCTACTAATACATAAAAAATCATCTAACTAGTTAGTGACAGAGATGAGACCAGAATCCATGCTTTCTGACTCTTCTTACAGTATATAAGACTGTCTTCAGATATATTATATATATTTCTAAATTATCTCTGTGGTATTTACTCAATTTGTTTTCACTAACTATTCTCAAGATAAATGCTAGTAATCCCTAACAAAGTTTTATCTGCACTTACCATTTACGATCATTTTCAAACAAGCAGAACATGGTTTTCTAGAAAAATAAAGATCACAGTTTTTCAGCCTTGATCCATGTTTTATAAGAGCAATTTTCCCAGCATGTAAATCTTCACTCGAACAGTGAAGATCAATAATTTTCATGTTTTTCACCACCACAAGACCAGTTTTCTTCACCTACATTAAAATACAAAATAATAATTTATTAATTATAACTTCTAATGACTGTATCATGGACTATACTTGATTAATAAAATTAAATTTTTGTTTAGTTCATAACTGAACAGTTTAAACAAAAGCATATTTTCTATTAGATCCCCATTTTTTTCTGAATATTTAATGTTGACTTTATACCAGAAATGTTCTAAACTTGGATTTCTTAATCAATTAAGTATCTATTTATCATTAATTTATCCTAGTGAAAAGTGAATATATTTTGACCTAGTAAATGAAAAGAACCAAGGCAATTTGACTTTATCTCTTATAGGATCCAGTCTAGGACTGTTTAGTATTAAGTTTCTAGGGGGTAATAAAAAAAATTTGGAAAACTCTGACTTTACACATGAATATGCAAAGCCCGGAAAATTCAGGTGACTTTCTGAAAGACCCACATACTGTAAAAGGCAAAACTAAAGCACAGGTAGTTTTAAAATATTTTAAATACTGATTGAAATGAAAATAATTTTCAACTTCATTCTTAAAAACAACTTTTAGCACATTGGAAGTCTAGATTAATGTGGTTTCACTTCCACAAGTATATATTGATTATGTGTAATAAAAGACTTTTTAGACTTCCAGTCAAGATAGTGACATAGGAAAATATGGTTCACCTTCTAGCACAACCACATCAAAATTACAACACACAGAAAAACCACCACTCAAAAAGTAAGAAATTGAGTTGAATGTAAGTATAACAACTATGGAATAAAAGAAACCACATCCATCCAGATTGGTAGGAGGGGCACAGATTTGGAACTGTCTGGTCCCATATCTACTTGTGGTGGATAAAAGTTTAGAAAGGATATCTCAAGAGTGAGGAGTCCCAGTCACACAGTAGGCCCCTCCCCCTGTCCCCCACCTCAAGCAAGGTTTCAGTGCCAGGAAGATAAATCCCTGTAACTTCTGGCTGCAAAAATAAGCAGGGATTAAGTCACTTCTGGAGCCCCAAGCAGTTCCTCTTAAAGAAACCACATATGGACTTATTCAGACTCATCCCTCTGAGCTCTACCACCACAATAGCAGCTTGAAAGGCACCAATCACATACAGGGAGAAACTGAAGTGTGTAGCATCAAGGCAAGAGCTTGGGGACAGCTTTTTCCTAGACAGAAAGGCAGGCAAAGGCAATCGTCCCTTTCCTGAACACACAGATTTCCTTTGCAGCACATACCCTGGGCTCCAGCAAAGGTGGAAGCAGAGTGGGTTGGAGACACCTGAGGAAAAACTAGAGGTAAAGGCTTCAGGAAGAGAACTGAGAGAGTAGCCCTTGGGATCCTGGTGCTGAGTCATCCCCCATATGGCAGCAGCCATTGTGTTTAGGCAGGCCACTCCCCTATGAGTGGCAGGAGCCTGAGGGGAAACAATGGGCTCCAACCCAAGAGGGCCTCTGCCCCTAGCTCTGTGGTGCTTAAGCTTCACTGCTGGGTGCAGAATGAGTAGATTAACAACTAAAGTAGTCAGCCACAGAGAGTAGATCCCTGACAAAGGTAGGGCAGAGTGGACTAGAAACACTTGAGGAGAGTCTGGGAATGGAGGTTTTGGGGAGAGAACAGAGAGAGTAACTGCAAGGATCCCAGTGCTGAGTCATCCCCCATATGGCAGCAGCCATTCTGCTTAGGCAGACCACTCCCTTCCAAGCAGCAGCAGCCTAGTGGGAAACAATAGCCCTGACCTCAGGAGGAATTCTGTCCCAACCTACAGGGCTTAAGCCTGACTGCTAAGTGTGGAGTGACTACATTAACAACTGAAGGTTACAGCCACAGACAGTACAGCCCTGGCAGTCTCAGATCAGGCTACTTAAGGTCAGACAGGGTCAACATCTGACATCACCAGAGGGGGATCAAGAAAAAAAAAAAACGTAAATACTAGAGGCTACAGAGATGAAATCCACTGTGGTCTTCTCCATGATTTGCAATATTTTCTTCCCTGCCTAGCTTTTTAACATTCATTTCTTGTCCATCAAGTTTGTACATATTAAGTGACTAGATTTTATACTATAGTTTATATTTCTCAATTCTTACAATAGTTTTATCTCTTTATACCCTTATTAATACTGGCTCATTTGCTGTTCATAGTGGGATTTCAATGGGGAGAAGTTATTTTTGTGGGCATGGGTTTGTTTCCTGGGCTTTGTGGTTTTCTTCTGGCAGCATATGGACAACAGCATACAAGACATGGTGGGCAAAGTGACCCTCACTCAACCAGCTGGAGGGAAGGACCCACCAAAGTACAACCCAACAACAATCAAAACCCAATTACATCCAGAGAGCCAACATAAATGGCATAAAGTGTCTACCAAGAGAATCAAGTTCAGGAGATAAGGACACTGAATCTCACAGGTTTTCTACCATAGAAGTTCATACCACAAATTCAGGGAGTCAAAACAGATCAATTTATGAAGGAGAAGCAAACAAAAAGAGTCTTTCAAATAATGGGAAGATAAAGAAACAACCGCCATTCTAAAGGAAAGGAAAAATCCTCAGAAAGAATCCTAAATGAAATAGAGACAAGTCAACTATGAGATACTGAGATTAAAACAATGGTCATAAGAGGCTAAGTGAGCTCACAGAGAATTACCAAAAACTACATGGAATCTATGAGGAACTTACTGCAAATTATATTAGCATGAAAAAGGACATAGAAACAATCAAGAAAGCGAGGAGGAAATGAAATATAAAATATCTTAATTAAAGAACATAGTAGAAGGAATCAAAAGCAGGGTAGATGAAGCAAAGGATTGAATTAGTGAGCTGGAGCAAAACGTAGAAAAAACCTGCCAGAAAGAGCAAGGAAAGGAAAAATAATGAAGAGGGGTTAAGGTAACTGCAGGACTACATGAATCATAATAATACCAGAATCATAATAAAGATACCAGAAGGAGAAGAAAATAAGCAAAGGATAGAAACCCTGTTTGAAAAAGGCATGATGGAAAACTTCCCTAATTTGATAAGAAAGAAAGTCACACAAATCCAGGAAGCACATAGGGTCTCAATCAAGAGGAAACCAAAGAGGCCTACTCCAAGACACATAATAATTAAAAGAGAGAAATTCAAAGACAAAGAGAGAATCTTAAAGGCAGCAAGGAAGAAACAGAAAGTAACACACAAGGCAGTCAAGACAAGGCTAGCTGCTGATCTTCCCAGAGAAACAGTACAAGTCAGAACAGAATGGCAAGACATATCCCAAGTAATGAAAAGTAAAGGCCTGCAACCAAGATTACTCTACCCAGCAAGGCTACCAATTAAAATGGGAGGCAGAATAAGGACTTTCCCAGAAAAAAGAAAGCTAAAAGACTACACCTCCACCAAACTAGCACTGCAAGACATGATAAAGGGACTACTTTACGAAGAGGAAGGAAAACAGTGTGAGAGAGAGGAACACAGAAACAAAGGGAGGAAAATTAAGAACTACCTACCAATTAGAACAGTAAATGTAAATGGATTAAATGCTACAATTGAAATACATAAGGTAGCTGAATGGATAAGAAAACATGAACCACACATGTGCTGTCTACATCAGACACACCTCAGAACAAAGGACCTACACAGACTGAAAGTTGAGGGTTGGAAAAAAAAATATTCCAAGTAAATGTACAGGAAAAAACCCAGGTGAAATCGAAGAAGTAATCAAAAAAGGCCTGGCACACAAAAGCCCTGGACCTTATGCTTTCACAGGAGAATTCTACAAAGCATTTAAGGAACAGCTAACCTCTATCCTTCTCAGACTATCCCAAAAATTCAAGAAGAGGGAAGACTCCCAAATTCCTTTTATGAAGCCAGCATCATCCTAAACCCCAAACCACACAAAGACACAACAAAGAAGGAAAACTATAGGCTAATTTTGCTGATGAACATAGACACTAACTAAAGTAGTGTCTATAATCCTCAAGAAAATATTGTGAAACCACATCCAGCAATATGTTAAAACGATCATACACTAAAATGCACTCAGATGCAGAAAATAGTGGTGAGGTAGGTGGTAGCAGAGCCCAGTTCTCCCTGTGACCCACTGGAATACCTAGCTGATCTTCTGAGGAACAGGATCAATAGCCAATGGCATCCCAGCATAGAAGAAATTGAAAAACAGACAATGAGGAGATTGCACTGGGATGGTAAGGTCCCTGGGATCTGCACAGGGACCTAGGCTGCTGTGGCCCCTGGCCCAGTGCCTGCTGCAGGATATGGGGAGGAGAGTTAGATCATCTGCTCCCTGCCATACCAAAGTAGGGAGGAGCAGCCCAGCACCAGGAGGGACCAGGATGCTGGAAGTCACTGGGAGGAATAGGGATGAACTGGAGACACATAGAGGCAGTATATATCCGCTGGGACTGTGGACAAAGACACCAGAGAAATCGGGGTGCCTGATGACAATTGGAGAAGGAAGAAATTGGGCCATGTTGAAACCTGACTCAGTCTCTGGACTGGTTGGAAAGTTGGGCTGTGTAAAGCCATGCGCTTATTAAGAATGGTGGGAAGCTGCTTTGTAAGGAACTCAAGCAGCAGCTGGCTTGCCCCAGGGTAATTTCAGCAGCATGTGCCCAAAGACTGAGTAGCTGAGAGGAAATGAACACCCAAGCTTATCTCACGCTGTGCACACAGAGGCTGAGAGGCTGAGTGGAACCACAAGTCAGAGCTTGTCTCACACTGCATGGACAGAGGCTAAGTAGCTGAGTGAAACAGCATACTCAAGACTGACTCATGCTGTGGACCCAGAGACTAAGTGGCTGACCTGAGCCTGGCAGCTCACAGACAACCTGGGCCAGAGGCTGGCCAACTGTGAATACTGTGGCCCAGACCTAGTCCCCATCCTCTCAAAACCATGGGAAGGGAGAAAAGCGAAGCCCAGCCCACCTCTTCCTGTGGCATCCAAGAAGACCAGCAGACTTGCTGAATAGATTTAAAGTCAGCAGGAGGCTTATTTTTTTCTTTCCTCTATCTTTTTTCCCCTTGTTCTCTTCCCC